CCTCCTTGACGGGACTGAAAGGGGAGGGGGTGGGAAACCGGTTACCTAGTCCGCAGCCGGTTGTGCTGCCCACCGTGGTCCCCCGGGGAGGGTGCAGCGGTCCTGGGCTAGCTAGTGACCGCTCTGTCCCCATCCCGAGCCTTGCGGGGAGGGTTGTGTGACCTGAACCTCCCGGAGAGGCTTCACGGGAGAGCCCTCTCCCGCCTTCTGAGGGGGGACACTGGGTGAGGTGTGGGGGGGTGTCTCACTCTGGTGAACCCAACTTGCCTAACGCCATTGCTTTGCTTTGCCTCACAGCCTGGAGCAGCTGATCTCGCCTGTGGCCTTCCCAGCCACCAGCAGCGTGGACCCGTGTGCGAAAGAGACTGTGCTGAACGCCATCAAGGAGAGCAGGAAGAGGGCTATGGAGGAGGAGGAGGAGGAGGACCAGGCTTTTGGAAACGATCAGGAGAGCAAGAGAAGGTAATAAGCCAGCAGTCCAGGTCGCTGCCGGCACATTGGGAAGGTTGTAAATGAGGTTAGTGCTTCAATGGTGACAAATGGGATGTGTCCCAGAGAGCGTGCTGGGCCCCGTGTGACCAGGAGTCTGGGTCAGAAAAGTGCTGTGGGAAGTGAACCGCAGAGAGGAAGCATATGCCATCGCCCGGCCCTCTGGGCTGTGTCAGAGAGTTCTCCGAGACTTTGTTTTGTCCTTGAGATCAAAGGGATGTGGTTTAGATTTTTCGTTAGGCGAGCTTGTGGGTCAGTTGTGTCCTCCTGCATTGCTGGGATGTGGTCTGGGGAAGCCTGGCAGAGCTCCTTGGCAGGGAAGTGGCTTCTGTCATCCCAGGGGTTTGCAGGCTGGGGAACTGCGGTGGGAAATGCTGGTATCTGCTGTAGGCTCATCGTATCTATCCTTCAGTCAGCCCCAGACTTCCAGGAGAGACGGGATCCCAAAGTCTTACAGCCCCGGCTGGAAGCATCACGCTTTAAAAGGTCTGCGTGCTTCCTTTGTGCGCTGTAGCTAGCGAAAGGAGGTAAAACACAAGGGTAAACAAGAGAGACTATCTTCTGCTATTGTTAGTCAAGGTCAGTGATTTCCAGCTCTGAGCTTGAAGAAATGAGGGTGCAGTGTCTTTGCTTGCTCTCTGGTAAGGACAAGGTATAAATCCTGGGTGCCAGGGTCGGCCGGAGCCTTTCTAACTGCCTGGGCACAGTGCTGCCTCGCCGTTCTCCCCTCCTGTTTTCTGTCCTTCGCACTTGTGTCCGTGGAGGCTGTTTGCCTTGTGCCCCTCAGCCTCTTGCGTGCGGGGGCTGCCTGCCTGGGCTTGAGCAGGGAAGCTGAGAGGCAGTTTGGGCAGTGCCCAGGGGCTGCTGCTAGAGGTGGTCCGGAGAGCACAATGGGATGAGTGGTGTTTCGCAGGGAGCCGCTGGCTGCCTTCCTCTGCTGCGGCAGGGCATGCCATCCTCTCTACCATCGCTGGATTTCCTTCTACCTTAGAACCTTTACCTCGGCTTGGTGAGTCTTGAGCCCCACAAGAGCTGAGCAGGACGACAACAGGATGGATGCACTGACTGGATCAGCTTGTTTTTTTTTTCTTTATTCTATTTTTTACCATGCTAATATCCAGCTCTGCCACGAAAGCCAATTTTGAAGGCATTAAAGCCTGGCAAGCACAAAGAATGCTTGTAGGCAGAAAAATCCTGCAACCTTTGAAGGCAGAAAGGAGCCTGCGTCAGCTGGAGAGCGCTGGATCGCCTGTGCGATGGGGGGCAGCGTGCTTGAGCTTGAGGGAAGGACTTGGGCTAGGTGACAGGGCTGATTGTACACCTCCAGCTCTGCTTTGCAGCAGAGATTGCTTTAAGACTTTCGGACTTCAGATCTTCACTGAATTGTGGGACGGGGGATTTGGTTTCTGACTCAAATAGTCCAGGGCACTGGCTAGGAAGAGGTAGGAGATCTGAGGTTTGGAGCTCAGGTCTGAGAGTTGCTGATACTCTCTGAAATGTTTTGGCTTAGAATAATGGATTTGAGCAAAGATTTCATTACATCAAAACTATTCTGCCCAGCAGGCTCCAGCTGCCCTTTTCTGGGCGGTGGCAGCTCAGGGTGAGAGTGAGTGAGGATAGGACCAGGCGGAGAGACAATCCACAGCGGGATGTGGATGGGGAAAACCTCTGTCCCTGGGTATTGGGTGACAGGTTTGTGCTTTCTCACTGCTGAGCCCACCTAGAAGGGGTCTTCTCCCAAGGCTGGGAGGGAGCCCCTGTCTCTGCTGCCTCCACACTACCACGAGGTTCTGCCCTCTCTCCCACAGGCGCCACGATAGCAGTGGAAGTGGGCAGTCGGCGTTTGAGCCGCTGGTTGCCAACGGTGCCCCCGCCTCTCTCATACCCAAGTAAGTGCCTGTTGGGCCAAAAGCAACTGCTGTGAGCTGGGAGGGGTGGGTCTGAAAGCCTGCATGCAGGCTCTGGAAAAGTTGTTTGGCTTTTGCTTGCAGAGCCCAGCTTTGGGGGAGAGCAAGAGACACTATGCCCGTGCCTTCAGGCTGTCAGCCTGAGCGCAGCCCGATTGTCATAAGGGTTGTGCTGCTACTGAGGTCTCTTCCCCAGCCCTGCACTGTGAGAAAGAGTGGGGTTGCTTTCTTCCACCGACTCTGCATTTGAAGGACCTGTGGGCAGAGTGGTGGGGAGCTCATAAAATCTTCTTTAACCTCCTCTAGGCCTGGCTCTCTGAAGAGAGGCCTTGTCTCGCACTGCCCGGATGACTGCTCAAATAAGAGGTCACGCACCTCTTCCATGAGCTCCCTCAACAATACATACGCTGGTGGGATCCCCAGCTCCATCCGCAACGCCATTGCCAGCTCCTACAGCTCCAGCCGGGGCCTCTCACAGGTGGGAAACACCCTGCTGAAGGCAGCACCGGAGCCCAATGCGGCGTGGCTTGACCCTCCTCTGGGATAGCCCTGTGTAACTCAAACCCTGTGTCGGAAGGGGAGAGCGGTGTCGCTGGGTGCCTGGCAGGGAGCACTGCGGAGAGTCTCCAGTGCAGCTCAGCCGGGCAGTTTCATCTCCCCGGATTAGGCAGGCTGCTGGGCCAGCAGCAGCAGGCAGCAATGTTATTCACCCTTTGGTGCACACTGCTGGGGCAGTCCCCGGGCTGAGCTGTCTTGCTGCAGTGCTTGTTTTACACCAAAGCAAGAAGGAGGCTTTTCCCCCACCCTGCTCAGCCTGGGCCAGTCTGCTAGGGTGGATAGATCCAGGTGAAAGGAGACAAAAAAAAAAAAAAAAAGAAAAAACCAACACTTTGCTGTACTGCCAGCCTTTTCAGCTGGAGTCAGCAAGTACTGCAGCTGCACACTCCCGCTTTGACCCAGGTCCCCTCGGCAGCTGCTGAGCTGTAATAAAACACTGCTTACATCCTGGGTCAGGGTTGCAGATGTGTCGGTGGGACATAGCCATGGCTAATGGAGCTCTGCAGTCTGTGTGGGGAAAGGATTTCTCCAGGGGATACTGGTAGGGGAAGGG